CAAAATTAGCACAGAAACAGTACTATATAACATTTTAGACACATTCTAGACAGTTTATCAGCTAAAAAAGTTAATTTTGGGGTAAGTTACTCTAATAAATGTTTTTTTAGTTTGTTTTGTTTTAAATTAAGACTTGTGTAACATTTGTTATCATTCTTATTTTACATGTTAATGGAGGGAGGAAGAAAAAGTAGTATCGGCTTCAAGTATCGACCGAAAATATCGGCTGCAGTGTTGGTTTAGTCACTCTGTATTTATGTTTTTTTTTGTTATTCAAAATACTGTGTGTTAGATGAGTTTCAATGGTGCAACTTCAAACTAACATGTAATATTCTTTTATGCTATTTTAACCAGACTGTACCTGGCTGCAATGCATTTCAATGAAAATGCATGTCTGCAGGCAACTACTTCATCTGGAGAGCCCATGTAGATTATTCTTTCCCAAGTTCAAGAAGGGAGAAGGCACAGCAAAGCCTATCAGAACTCCTGAAACCCTAAGTAAGTCTTAGCACATTAGCCACTTTTAGTATGCCAACTTGATTTCAATAAATCAAAATCATCCCTACTTTAATTAAATCTCCCTTATTCAAAGTCATGTCACAAGGGCATGTGATGTGTGAAAGTGTTGAATGAGAAACATTTCCTCACAATGTTGAACAAAAATTACAAAAATAAGTGACACTTTACTGTTTCTACTATGCAAAGACTGTGTACATTTTAATGATGTTGATGTTTTCCAGACTGTGCTGTGGATTAATCTCCAATTGTCCCAGACAAGGCCAGCATCTCCACACCACCTCCTGATGCTTTGCTAGCTCACAAGAAAAATCTTAAAAATTTAAGGCGTTTTTCCTCAAAATCAGTGTTTTTGTTGTTCTGTACTGTTCAAAATAGTGCTTCAAAATTTTGTTTTATGATTAAATTTCAGACAGTTCATTCAACTGATACATTGATAAGGCTTTTATTCATTATATTTTGACAAAATGCAATTTTTGTTAACATTTTAGTCAAAACACTATATTTGCCTATTTCTCCATACACCACTTTTGGACTTAATCCTCGTTTCGATGTGATGGGTCACATTTCATTCATTTTTTACTGTGTTCTGTGTACTTTTAAACTTCAACTTTTGTCATAAAAACATTTCACTGCAAGTTGAACTTTGTGTATGTGATAAATTTATTTGATTTGATTGCTCCCATTTTTATCTTCTGTTGCTAACATATTTTATGAAGGCAATGCATTCCACAAACAGAAAAAGCTATTGAACATATATAATTTTGCATTTTAGGTAAAAATGATTTTTATCAAAACCATAAATGTAATTTGACAT